CAGTTTGTCTTACAAGATTTCTAAGTTCATTATCATTATTTAGTAAACAGGTCTCTGAAACGATTTAATATATCCGTAAAATACATGGCAATCGACGATTGACTTCAAAACGTTCGACAAACTCCCGGCACACCTAGCGCGATATGCGTCAGATCGGTGTAGAAGACGCCGAACTGCAGCGCGGCGTCAATGCCACGTATTTCTATGGGCTATGTGCGCGCAGCTGTGGAACGCCGGTGGAGCCGGTGAAAACTCGAGAAAACAACACAAACTCAACTTTGAAGTAATCCTGAACAACCAAATTCATATATGTTACACACGTAGGGCTAATCTTGTTACACTGTTCAGGGGACTCTCAACAACCATCGCAAAGTATCGTTTTCTGCGAGTTTTTGGTCTTTGTTTTCACCGCGAGGGTTGCCAGGCGGTAGAAAATGCCCGGATGTCCGCCCCTGAGGATACTGTGACATAAATTGTAAGTTAAAAGTACAGAGCCCTGGCTGTGTGAATGAAAAGTGCACATGTTTGGATACTTTCCAACAACCCATTGCACATGTTTATTTTTAAGACTGCTGATACAGTCACTGGATTGTGTTGTCAGCAGAAGTTGAGATACATACATCCTGTCTCTCCCTGTGGCATAATGGTGATTGTGAAATACATTGGAATGTGCTGAACCCAGTGTTGTTGGCAATGAAAATAGATATGACATCATTGACCCGAGTCTCCTACTTTAAATTGGTAGAGCTTGGATTAAGAATGGTTTATTCCACTATCAAAATTGGCATCCTCTGTACACTGATTTGTCGGCTATTTCGAGATAACCAATCATTTCGTTATATACATTTTATTATTTGCATGGCCATAAATTAGCTAGGGTATTTAAGTTGAGACATAAGGGGAAAATCTTTAGTCAGGAAGGTGACCTGACTTGATCCTGTAACGTCTTGTGATGCTGATTCCTGACTCCAGTGAGCTGTATCCTATACAGGGGTACATATGCAGACGTGCTATGCAGTAATCTCTGCTGATCAACAGGAACCACTGAACTACTCCCGTTGTACCAGTGCTACCAGTAGCAGCAGATAGCAGTGCAGTTGCCGATACTCCCTGGACACAGAGCACGAGTTTAAATTGTAGTGCAGCTGCTTCGCCAGTGTGCCAGATACGAAGGAACGCAACATTGCACATTGCTGTCCATGGAGAGTGGAGTGTTCCCTGCAGCATCGATCAAGTCTCTAATTTATTTCATTTTACAGTGTATCCCCCTCCCCTTGCTGGTTCCAGTGACCAGCATCCCTGTTATTTGTTTATTAAAGTACAGGAAACCGTATTTATTGTGTTGTGTTGATTTGTTATAATCGTTACTGGTATATTTCTTTCTCTGCACAGTCTCAGTTGTGGTGATATACATTCACCAAACGATCCCCACCCTGTGACAGCGGACGAGCTGAGAGGGAGGAAACTTATAAGATAAGCACGCTACCAAAGACAAAGACTATTAGACCGGTATTAAAGACAAGCTCCCCGATCCTGAATACGGTGTAGCCCCATAAAGGCCCCCCCGCATTTAACGTCACAATATATTATGTACTGCATGTTTTTCAACAGTGAATTTATTCATCTTTTCTAGTTGTATCTGGTGATACATGTGCAGGCTATACCGATTACAGTTCATATTATGAAGCATTTGAATGCCCAACCTCGACTGACACCGAGGGCATGACCTACTGCTGTGGAAGTGATATGTACAGGTTTTGCTGTTCTCAAGCAGACTATGATTTCGATAATGATTTTGACAACGTTTTCGAATCAGCAATTGGATTTGTGTATGTATAAATAATTTGTACGTCTTGTGGGATGTATGAACTTGTACGTTTTGCTGAATCTATTAATTGATTTACATGATTTACACCAGAAGCTTTCCATGCACATATTTTGTTCTGCCATGATATCCGTTATTCATGGGACTTGTATACTGGCCCGGTGAAATAACTAACAACATAATTATTTTACAGAACAATTGTCGCAATTGCGATTATATGCGGTATCATTGCCGTACCGATTATTATATCAGTATCTATTGTGGCATGTGTGTATTGCTGCATTAAGGGAGCACAATCAAACAGCGAGGATACCACAACACATCGTAAGTAATGATAACATATTTTAGATTTATAAAATTGGGTAACCTAACTAAACTGGAACGGTGGTATTGTTATTCTTATGTTTGTTTCTTTTTCAGAAGAAGCCCCAGCACCAGCATACAACATTGTGCCCCTACAAAACTATCCACAGTCATCGCATGCCGTCTAATCTACACCAGTTATCAAAAATTAATCGTTTAAACACGGCTAACAGTTAGTGTATCTCCTAGACTATGCATGCATTGCAAAACTACATTATCATCTCTTTAACAAGTAATATCCAGCATTATATAATATTGGATTTAGAAAGTTGTTTTGTGTGAACAAATACAGAATCATATTTACCCAAGAATTGATAAATGTACTTTTTGTTTAAATTATTGGGATAACACATTCACTTTTGTTTAAATTACTGGGATAACACATTCACCTTTGTTTAAATTACTAGGATAACACATTAAATTTTTGTTTAAATTACTGGGATAGCACATTCACTTTTGTTTACATTACTGGGATAACACATTCACTTTTGTTTAAGTTACTGGGATAACACATTCACTTTTGTTTAAATTACTGGGATAACGCAATCACTTTTATTTCAATTACTGGGATAACACAATCACTTTTGTTTAAATTACTGGGATAACACATTCACTTTTGTTTAAATTACTGGGATAACACATTCACTTTTGTTTAAATTACTGGGATAACACATTCACTTTTGTTTAAATTACTGGGATAACACATTCACTTTTGTTTAAATTACTGGGATAACACATTCACTTTTGTTTAAATTACTGGGATAACACATTCACTTTTGTTTAAATTACTGGGATAACACATTCACTTTTGTTTAAATTACTGGGATAACACATGCACTTTTGTTTAAATTACTGGGATAACACATTCACTTTTGTTTAAATTACTGGGATAACACAATCACTTTTGTTTACATTACTGGGATAACACAATCACTTTTGTTTAAATTACTGGGATAACACATGCACTTTTGTTTAAATTACTGGGATAACACATTCACTTTTGTTTAAATTACTGGGATAACACAATCACTTTTGTTTACATTACTGGGATAACACAATCACTTTTGTTTAAATTACTGGGATAACACATTCACTTTTGTTTAAATTACTGGGATAACACATTCACTTTTGTTTAAATTACAGTGTCACACGCAACGTAATATTACCGTAATTGGTATAGTACAGGTGTGATGGTTCAAATACCAAAATTGCAACAGCAACAGAAAGACTTCCCTGGCGGCGATGATAAAATACGAACATGGAGCCAACAGATGAGGTTTCAACTGGTACTGGTATTATTATACTCTGCAAACATCAAGTACAATAACGCTGTAAAACTCCACTACTCCAATAACTAGATACTTAAACTCCAATACAATTCAACGAGATCTCCGATCTGATCTCAGTGCTGAACAACTCCCCTATATATACCCACACTGTCTATAAATAGACCATTACATCAGCATACATAATGAGTCTGGAATTTATTATAAATTTCTAGAATGCTCCATTACCTTATATTGCCTCCTACAGTGTTCTATTACCTATTCAAAAAATCTAGAATATTCCACCCAGACACAGTATGGTTCTAGAACATTCTCAGTGACACGGAAGTGGTAAATAAGTCGTATGCGACATACAGGGATAACACATTCACTTTTGTTTAAAATACTGGGATAACCATTAGATTTTATTACTTATTGTAGTTTTTAGTGATCTTACTGTTGTACTTGCAAATTCAGTGCTCTGTTAATAAATAAATGTATAATGTAAATGTGTGATGAGTGGTGAACTCTGGTTGTGTTCAAGAAATCCGGCATAGCTTCTGAAAACTGCTTACAATCTTGCCCAATCTATTACATAACTTGAAAACTAGCAAACAAGTTTGCAGTAATCCGACTTTTGCAGGTACTCGGCTTTAGCCATTCATACACTGCAATAACATTTTATTATATTGAAAAAAAATATATATATACAAGGGACTGTATGCAAGTATATATTGACTGGAATATGCATGGGACACTTAGGTGAACGGTGTCTGCTCCCCACAACTATATCATGTGATTATTCTCTTCGACCTGGCAGGATATTTTCATGCTATTTGATCCACCATATTACACAAAAACACCGACCTGATACAGGAGTGTCACAATGTGCTTAAGAAAGAGAACTTGGAAGAGGATGAGACTGTCAGTTCTGTCACTGGAACCAAATAACTACACTTGGTCAGCTGACCTCGTGATTTATAGTCCAAATCGATTTACATAAAAACAAACGGAAAATTCCTACATATTTTAAATACTGCAACAGTGATTTTAAGTACATAAGTCGCGCCTAAGTTAGTCACAGGTAGTTGGATGGCTCCCAAAAATTCTATTGTGTTCTGCCGACAGTTTTGAAGTAAAAGAACTGACATGTATTTAATTGGCCGTTGAAATGCTGGGGGAGGCCTGACTCAAGATGTCAACGGGGGTGTCAAGTCGCGACTTTTCGTATTTATCGGCCTGTCACCCTTTGGTATAGCTCTTAAAACTCGCAACGATCAGTTGAATCCATCACGCTGATCTCTAGTTCTCAACTGAGCAGCATGTCTAAGCGAAGGTTATCCAGTCTGTCCGTATGTAAAAAAACTCACAACGATCGACTGTGAAACTTCAAACTATAGAATATAGCAGCCTAGAGAGAAATCACGTCAAGGGTTGTACGTGATCGAGCATTAGGGAGGGGTTGCTGTGATAGAAATACATAGAAATAAGATTGAATATTTGGGGGAGGGTCACAATACAAACCACAATAAATTAAACTGTCTCATTTAACCATAAAGGCACTTCTTAAAATTTGAGCTTTCACTTAAACATATATATATTATTATCACTGTCAATCTTTGATCGGTACTGGGCCGCGATCCATCGTACTTTATTTAAAAATACATAGGTAGAGGTGTTTTTACAGAGAAAAAGAAACACATACTACTAATTACAACACCACAAAAACAGAATTTACATGCAAAGAATGAATAAATCACTAAGATATTACATTCAACTTGTCTCATAATTATCTCGTCTTTTGAATGCTTGTAACAAGTATATAGCTAAGCGACGAATAATACAAGGTTGGGATGTTGAGAGAAGAGACACCAGTTTTCAATATTGGGATAAGTACACAGAGAAATTGGCAATAAATCGGCTCTTAAGTCGTTGTAAAGGGGACATTTGAAAACAAAATGAAACTCGTTTTCTACAACCACAACTCCAGAGTTACTACAGAAATTACATATGCTATGTTCAACTGGCAGCTTCAGATGTCTACCCGTTTCAATGTTGAGTGTATACTGTCACATACGACTTATTTACCACTTCCGTGTCACTGAGAATGTTCTAGAACCGTACTGTGTCTGGGTGGAATATTCTAGATTTTTTTTAGAAACTGGTTGAATAGGTAATAGAACACTGTAGGAGGCAATATAAGGTAATGGAACATTCTAGAAATTTGTAGTAAGTTCCAGACTCATTATGTATGCTGATGTAATGGTCTATTTATAGACAGTGGGGGTATATATAGGGGAGTTGTTCAGCACTGAGTTCAGATCGGAGATCTCGTTGAATTGTATTGGAGTTTAAGTATCTAGTCATTGGAATAGTGGAGTTTTACCGCGTTATTGTACTTGATGTTTGCAGAGTATAATAATAATACCAGCACCAGTTGAAACCTCATCTGTTGGCTCCGTGTTCGTATGTTATCATCGCCGCCAGGAAAGTCTTTCTGTTACTGTTGCCATTTTGGTATTTGAACCATCACAAGTATGTGTTTTAATCTATGATTACTTATTAATACATTTAAATACATATCAGGTGCAAGTGCTGTTTTTATTTTCCTATAAGTGGTAAGACTGGACGATTGTGTGACGTCACTGTGCCATTCCTGCTGGCAAAAATCTTTAATTCTCTGGGAAAATAAATCTAGACAATTGTCAGTATCCCCAACTTACTGCTCCATCAGTATCCCCAACTTACTGCTCCATCAGTATCCCCAACTTACTGCTCCATCAGTATCCCCAACTTACTGCTCCATCAGTATCCCCAACTTACTGCTCCATCAGTATCCCCAACTTACTGCTCCATCAGTATCCCCAACTTACTGCTCCATCAGTATCCCCAACTTACTGCTCCATCAGTATCCCCAACTTACTGCTCCATCAGTATCCCCAACTTACTGCTCCATCAGTATCCCCAACTTACTGCTCCATCAGTATCCCCAACTTACTGCTCCATCAGTATCCCCAACTTACTGCTCCATCAGTATCCCCAACTTACTGCTCCATCAGTATCCCCAACTTACTGCTCCATCAGTATCCCCAACTTACTGCTCCATCAGTATCCCCAACTTACTGCTCCATCAGTATCCCCAACTTACTGCTCCATCAGTATCCCCAACTTACTGCTCCATCAGTATCCCCAACTTACTGCTCCATCAGTATCCCCAACTTACTGCTCCATCCAAACGATACCAAAACCATAATTAAATAAAAGATTGTTGATGCGAGAAGCCCAGGTAGTTCTACCAGCTTCATACAAATGTTAGAGCATTGTGTAACATGCTCTCAGGTATCTATTGTTATCTAATTTTAAAAGTTTTAACCAATAGGCGATACATCACTTAAAATAAATACAACATAATGGCACTCGTCCACATTCGCCCAGAACTGCTACGTTATTGACACTGCTATTGAGCCCTAATAAAAATCTACGCAATTTTACCTGAACACGTTCAATAATTTCACTATATTCGTAGCCTCAGAATTCACTCCCATAACAACAGGTGGGTACAATCATCGCATCAAAAGATTTGGAAGTAGCAGATACAGAAATATCCATACCAGTCTAGAAGAAATGGTTAATCCTAAATAGTTGTAATATTTTACTGTATCTAAACTTTTACCAGCATAAAGCCACTTTTCACCTGCATATTCCAGTGTTGACAGAAACTCTCTAACTTATTTAAGTTACGTTGTAAATACATTGGCATGTCAGCTCCATCTGCTACGTCATCTGCATATAAAAGTATACTGACTGATGGACAGTCCTCGGTAACATAAATTCCTTCCCCTGGTTCAAAATCCATATAATTA